TCAAGAGGTAAAGGTGTTTGTCACCAAGCCTGACAACCTGAGTCTGGTTCCTGCATTCCACACAGTAGACAGAGACAACTGCTAGTCGTCCTCTAACTTCTACATGCACACCACGGCATGGTGACATGAATCGTGGCATGAGCACATAAGGACACACGCACAAATAAGTAACTTAAAAACACATACACATCAGCTCATACTCTTGCATCTGTGCTTTCTTCCTACGCTCATCTCTTATGTCTAGTGCTCTACTCTAGTCCTGGTCTACAGACCTCCTCACTGACCTCTGCTACCAGTCCTTGCTCTTCTTTCTTCTCACATACCAAGATAAGTAATTACACTCACACAACCCTTCCATCCACATCACTTTAAGATATCACACAAGGGCTAGGTGGTGGTGGCACACTCCTTTAATCACAGCACTCCGGAGGCAGAGGCAGGCGGATCTCTGTGAATTAGAGGCCAGCCTGGTCTACAGAGCAAGTTCCAAGACAGACTCTAAAGCTACAGAGAAATCCTATCTCAAAAAACCAGGAAGAGAGAGAGAGAGAGAGAGAGAGAGAGAGAGAGAGAGAGAGAGAGAAAGAGAGAGAGAGAATGATAAGACTGAAGAGACTGCCAGACAAGTCTGTTTGCTTTTTGAGACAGGGTATCACTATGTAGTCCTGGCTGACCTAGAGCTCACTAGGTAGGCCAGGATGGTCTTGATCTCAGAGATTATCCTACCTTTGCCTCCTGGGTCCTGGGATCAAAAGAATGAGCAACCACACCCAGCATCAAGGGTGTATTTTAAACTAGCAGTCAGCAACAATGCCTAAGAAGTTTGAGCAAAAGCCTCTGAGGATAAAAATCAATTGTAAAACACTCCAGAAAGAACAAATAGTATTCTAGTGGTCTGAGGCCCAGCAGGATTAGGGTTTAGGGCAGGCAAGAGGTATAGTTAGAACAGATGATAGTAAGAGACCAGATAATAAGATGAGGGAATATACAAATACTAAAATCTTACCTACTAGAGCCTTCCCAAACAGGCTGCTTCTAAAACAGGCTTCCAGCATGAGGCTCAAGCTAAGATATAGTGAAGGAATTTAATAGAAAAAAACCCATGCATACATGGCAGAGTATGCATACAAGGTAGGAAACAGGAATAAAAATTAACCAAGAGGAAACATGGCAAAAAGAGATGGGATGGGGCTGACAAGATGTCTAAGCAAATAAAAGAACAAAAGTGCAAGCCTGGTGTCCTGAGTTCAAACCTAGAACCCACAGTGGAAGAACTCCTAAAAATTGTTTTCTGACCTCTACTTGCACACACACACACACACACACACACACACACACACCGAGTGTTAAGAGCACTTGCAGCTCTTCCCAAAGACCTGAGTTTGCTTCCCAAAATCCATGTTAGGAGGCTCACAACGACCTCTAACTCCAGTTCCAGAGCAGCAAATACACCCCGTCTACATTCACACATTAGCAAACACTCCCAGTCTACATTCACACAAACACATACATAAATCTTTTTAATTAAAATTTTTTAAGATTTATTATTCTATATGGATAAGCCTTTTGCCTCCATGTATGTATATGCAATCATATCCATGTCTGGTGACAGAGAAAACCAGAAGAGGTGTGTCAGATCTCCAGGGACTAACATTAAATCTCTTGTCTCCCACAATATTCACTATAAATAACAATTTCCAGAGAAACTAACAAACCATACCGATAGGCAAACTGAGCCTAATCTAGTTGCATAAGTGACTCCTTTTGCTTTTATAGTTCTATATTTTATGTTCTTTTTTCCTAACCCAGTGATATAGAGAAATCAACAAGAAAACAGAAACTCTTACTTCTTGTTGTCATTTACTGCACTTACATACTTGCAATGTTTCAAGAACTTATCTCCATTTAGCATGATGAGCAAAAACTAGCAAACAGAGGCTGGCCTCATTAGCTAAAACATTTACTTATTTGTTTGTTAATTATTTAGCTAGAAGAGAGACCAGATAAAGACAAGGGAAGCCCCAAGAAGTAGTCTACCTACAAGAGCCTTCCAAACAAAACAGGTAGGAACCACAGGGCTTGGCTTCCAGGATGAAACTCAAGCTAAGATGTACTTGAAGGGGGACCTCAGCTCAATTCTTTCTCTTCCATATTCAGCTTTCTGGAACTTTCCTACTCCAATATGACTTAAAGAGAGTCAAAGAGGTTATATTCTAACATTAAATGGGTTGCTTACCCTAAGCCATATGCCCACTTAGTAGTTTAACTAATTTCTGACATGAAAAGTTGAAAGGAGAAACCAGGGAGTCCAAGACTAACAAGAGTCCCATATCCAAGAACTTATTCAAAAGATGAGGTTATTAAAAGGCTGTGTGTTGTGCTATGAAAGTGACAACAATCACTGGCCCGTGCCAAACAACCTGCACGAAGACCCCGAGTGAGGACAGAACACCACAAATTTGGGAAGAGAGAGACTCTGATTTTACTGACTGAAGAGAAAGAGGAAAGTGCAGTCAGGGGACCAAGATACTTACCTCAAAATAAATAAATAAATACATACATACATACATACATAAAAAAAAACCACAATATAAAAATGTAGCTCAGTGGTTAAAAGCTTGCCTAAGGGTCAAGGGTCTGCAACACATATACACAATACCTGGGCATTTCATGCTTGTAATTTCAGTACACAAAGATTGTTCAAAGTTCAAGGCTATCCTAGTCTACATAGCAAGTTTTAGGTCAGCCATAGCTACTTATCAAGACCATGTCTCAAAAAAAATCTGCTTTCAATTCTCACCACTTAAAGTTGTAATTTATCAAAAAAGTTACTTGCTAAATTAAAAAGAATAATATATTCAAATTATATTCTTCAGATCATTTTAGCAGTTTTTTACATGTGCAATTACTTGGTAAGGAGACTCAATTTTACAGCTCATATAGGGCACATTTAACTAGTGTTTCCTATCTTCTCACCAGCACTTCTTAGTCTAATTCCACCTACATTCACGTTTTACATTGAATTGTCAAAACTGTAAAAAAGGAAGTAACTAATTAGTTCACATTCTGCCATGTGAGTAAACCTTTTTAAAGCCTGAGTACTTCTTGGAAAGGATGCCTGAGTAGATGAAAGGCTAGACTCCTCCCTTAAGTAACCCACAGGGTCTCTAACGCCTGACTCATTCTGCAGTTCTGACTTAAGTCTTCTTTTGGTTCCTCACATTTCTGCAGACAGTGGCTTAAAAGCCCCATATAGCTTGGCTGCATAAAACAACTTAGTAATCTCACTTGTAGCCTGACTGTTTTTCTCTATATGTCTCCACAAACTTCAAGTTATGATAGTTTATAACATTAAAGTGAACACACCCCATCTGTGGAGACATAAGAATTGTCCATTAATATTTCGAAATTAAGTTAATTATCTAAATACTCTTTAAAAATGGAATGTTGACCCTTATAATCAGAGGCCAAAATGGGAGGATTTTTGTTCTGAATATGTTGAGTCATTCACAAAAACGTACTCAAATTCACAAGCAAATATTAAGTCCACATAGTATAAGCCATCAACCCAAAAATAAAGGCTGCTGGGCAGAAGAGAAAATGGAAGGAAAGAAAAGGAAATGACTCAAAGTAATAGAGTGTATACTTATTCGTCCCTGGCCGGCAGTTAAGATTTGAACTCTAGGTCTGGGGAATAGGAGAACACACAGAAAAAGCAGTGTTTACAGGATTTGCTCCCTCTGTGCTACTTTTAGTAACTGTGCATATACATATATGTGCACGTGTGTATATATGTGCGTGCATATGTATATGTGTGTACACATATATATGTGTGTGTATGTATATATGTATGTATGTGTATACATATATATATATACATCAACTTAAATATGTAACCAGAATTTAAAACATGGGAAAGGTAGGAGTTCAAAGTCTCAGTTTCCTGAAATGTTTCATAACTTTTGTGTAGTGATGATCTTATTTCAAATACATGGAAATAATCCATGCACAATCTTGTAATTTAATGCCTTTAAAAGCCAAGGCCTTCAAAGTCTGTGAGTAGGCTGGTAGTACTCAGGCACTTCTCTCCCCTAATTCTGAACTCGCTCGGTATCGGACTGGTCTCCTTACAGGGTCCGTTATAACACACGCACACCCCAATTATCTACCTGGAAATGATTCCTGTCAGAACATCCGATTTCATACCGTTTCGTCGTCAATGTCAAACCTCGTCCTGAGCTGAGAAAGGAGAAAAGCTCAGTGTTGCAACGGGTCCTAAGCAATATCCTCATCCATTTTCTTCTCACCAGAAGTCAAACCCAAGCATCTTTTAAATGCCGAGATTTAAACCAAGGCAATCGGCAGCCGCTCGGTCACCACGGTCCGGCTCGCCGCGCCCTGCGCTTTCTAGGCTGTGAGCTGCATCCCGAGCGAGGGAGCGCGCCCCATGAGGCGCGGCCACAGCCCCGGGCGGGTCCGCGGGTCCAGCCAGCCTCGTCTCCACCTGCGAGGCCACTCAAGGACCGGCGACCTCGGCGCCGCACTGACCAACGGCCGGCGCCCCGAATGTCAACGCCGGACGCTTCCGCACACA